GTAGAAAGGCAATGTATTACTGACAAATACGTCCGTATGGGTTGGGGTGTGGTTGGGGGTGGGTAGGGGCGTTAGCGGAAAGGTCACTGGGTGGAGGTGAAGGTAGTTGTGAAATTGTAGTTGCCTCGGAATGATTAATGAGGCCTTTAGTGAGTTGAATTGGAAACCAGAGGTCAGGGTCAGACGACCGGGGCCCAGTGATCTCGGGCAATTTGATGATCGAAAGGCCTAATTGTGCCGTGTAGCGGTGGAGATGACTCTTTGTGCGTGTATGCGAGTCGGAGCGGATCGGGGCGGAGCAGAATGAGGCTCGGCGGTCTCGAGCCGAGTCGTTGGCACTCGTGGGCATGTAAAGACTGCGGGCGGGGCAGGAGGGCATGGCCGTCTTGTCATAATTCACTTTGGCCGAGGTCAGGCGACAGTTTTGTTTCTGGCATAATTTTGGGGTCTAGTGCATTCGTCGAGTGAGTACGTGATAAAGAAGAGGAGGAGGAGGAGGGGGAGGAGAAATACTTGAGCCGTTCTGCTCCGCGGTTGGCAAGGTAGGTCCAGAGGTCGGCGAAAAAAGGCTAATGATGACGACTGAAAGGGGGCGAGGCCATGGAACTGGCGATCGGAACACCGTTCCGGCGTGGCTTCCTCGACTGATACTCAATCGCTGGACGGTGGCGATGATGAGAGGCGGTGGGAGCAAGGACTCACGGTACCCCGACCTCGGGGAGAATTGATGTTGGTGGCGGCGGTGGTGGTGGCCGAGGAAGTTTAGGTTTGCCGAAACGAGGGGAAGACATTCGGGGGCGCCGTGAGGGGAGGTTGATGTACCGATCGGATCATTCGTTTTCGCCGGGACAGTCGGGTTCGAGACCACTCGGACACAAACACAACTTTGGTCAGACACATTGCAGGTCTAGCCAGAAAGTCAAGCAAACCAAGGGCTGGGCCCTCGGGAAGATCAGACATAGAGACCCAAGGGCAGCTTGCCCACAAGGTTGAGTAAAATGGACGTGTTAAGACGTGGACTTTAGAGATATTTTGTGGGCATTGTTCTCTTAACCTCAATTTTGACCTCTTGGCTGCCACTGCCTTCTCAGTCGACACGCTCGCATACCACTCACGTCCTTTTTCACCTCAAAACAAACCTATATGCTTCCTATTTTGGATGCCAGCGTATAACTCCACAGCTAGGCTTGCCTGTGTGCATGAGCTGTAATGTATGTAAAGCCGTCTGCAATAACCAATAATCACAAACAGTCGTGTAAAAGTCAGAGTGAGCAGCCAGAAACCGGAAGTTTGTGCGTCTCTCTGTATGCATATATGTGTGTATGCGGGTATGTATGAATAAATATTTGAATCATGAATGTATGAATGTATGAATGTATGAATGTATGAATGTATGAATGTATGAATGTATGAATGTATGAA